TTTAGCTGTACTAAGCTGAGGTGACCACATCCTGCTTGCGATTAGCTGGCAGCCTGGGTGGAGACCTTCTTCTCGTCCTGTGAATGTCCAGTGTCCCTCTGTCTACTCTCCTGGATGCTGTGGGCAGTAGGCAACAGCTGTGAGCACCAAAAGAAGAGTGGGGAGTGGAGCTAAGCCATAGGATTAAGTCCATCCTGGAACCTACTGTCTCTCTGGACTCCCAGTTATATGAGCCAGACATTCCCTACGTCACTGTGATTGGGGCACCTGTCCCTTGTAGCTGACGTCATCCTGATGGACACCTCTCTCCATAAAAGGTCCCCTCCCTGTGCACCCTCAACAACTTTGTCAGAATCTGTCTCCGGAAACTGTTCATCCTTTTTATCCATGTTGCTGATCTTCTTTCGAAGAATATGTTTAGTCTCTGCTCAGTCCCTGTGGATGGGCTCACCTTGCCCTTTACCTTGCTCCTTACTGCCTCACTCAGCCATGACCGGCAGGGAGCCCAGCGGATGGTCAGAGTCCTGGGCATCCTGATGGCCTGGGAGAGCCTCCGGGTTTCCCTCGGCTCCCACACGTCCCAGGCTTCCCAGGACTGTGCTCGACACAGCCGCTCTGCCAAGCCAGTGCCTCCAGGTGTCCGTGGACCAGAAAAGAGCACGTGCAGAGGGTTAGGAACTGGGTGATGCTCTCACCTTAAGCATCTCCAGCCTCATGCGGAGGCCCTGCATTGCTGTTTCTAAAACGATGCCCTAAGACTGCCAGCGTCAGAATCACCAGTATTGTGATCAGGTGCTTGTTCAAAGTGCAGATTCGTGATGTGGCTGTGTAAGTCTTATATTTCACAGCTGAATCCATGGTTATCTCCCACTCCGGATTCCTTCAAAGACAGCTTCGAGGCCAAGGCAATGAGGGAGGGGGCTGGGATGGAGGCAAAACTATGAAGGCGAAGGGAAAAGTGGGAAGCGGGACAGAGATGCTGGACTGTTTCGGGGGCACAGGAGTGGAACGCCACCTAAAGGCAGACTCAAATTCTGTCAGCCATTGGTTTTCCAGTTTTATAACACTTACCTGTGCGCATCCACCACCAGCCTTTGTCTTCTGGTGTAACTTTGACGTGGGCATATCCAGCATCACAATGGAACCCCCCACAAATCGCAGGGTACCCATCACAAATGATCGGTCCAAACCGCAAAGGTCAGAGCAAGGTTTTATAAGACGGCAATCGAGCAGTCACAACACATTTGTGTGCTAGTTAGCAATTTCACAAACCTGAAATAGATTTCAACCTCACCTCCCAAGTCCAAGCCACTTCCTATTACTCACTCCACGCTTTGCAGCTTTGTAAGTTCTTTCCCAGCGAGAAAGCGAAAGCGAACCACCCCTTCCCTCTCCTTATGAAATACGTTTTACACAGTGACTGACATGACAGAGTGCAGACTGTACAGAAAATAATGGCTGCAATTTCTGACGGCTAACTTACCCTGAGTTGGGTTTAGGAAGAGTTTAGTTATTGCTGGCGGTGGGGGTGGGGGTGGGGGAGTATGTTTTGGTACCATTTTCTTTCTTTGTTGGAAAATAAGTGATGGATGGGAATTCAAAGTTTATTCTGGAATGCAGATCTATTCGAAATGGACCTTGACAGGCCATTCCCTCAGACCCTCCTCATATTCACAGCAAATCCCCTTGTGCCTTTTATTACAACAAACCCACGCATTCCCCTCCTTTCCGGCCCCCACTACCCCAATTCTCATTGCACATTTTGATGACAAGAACTTCATTTATTGCTCACTAGAGGCAAATTAAATTAGTCTGAGGCCTGGGGTGCGTGGCCATCCCAGGTCCTTATATAATGGACTAAAAAAAAAAAAAATCCAGACTCTAATGGGTGGATCTATTTTTTTTAGCCTAGATTTTAAATTACATTGGAGACACCACATAGAGTCAACTTATAATGCATGGGATGTTTATATTAGAACTCAAAGGTCAGGTGTTGGAATCTGGGCCTTCTGGTCACCAACATTTCACCCATCTCTTATTCTCTAGTTGAATGGCTCCCAAAGTGGCTGTGTATCAGGATTAATTAAGAGTTTCTTAAAAATGCAGATTTTCTGTCGCAACTCAAATGTAACAAATCTTAACTCTCTGGAGTTCTATTTTCTTTCTTTTTCTTTTTTTAAAATATATTTTTATTGATTTCAGAGAGGAAGGGAGAGGGAGAGAGAGATTGAAACATCAATGATGAGAGAAAAACTATTGATTGGCTGCCTCCTGCAATTCCCTCACTGGGGATCGAGCCCACAACCCAGGCATGTGCCCTGACCAGGAATTGAACTGTGACCTCCAGGTTCATAGGTCAATGTTCCACCACTGAGCCATGCCAGCCGGGCTCTTTTCTTTTTCTTTATTTCCTTCTCCTTCTCCTTCTTCTCTCGCTCTCTTTTTTACAAGTTCCCTGTGTGATTCTCACACAGCCACCAGGGACCCATTTACGGAAGACATTTGGGAACCACTTTTCGGGTCCAGGAGTTCTTGAGCTTGTGTGTGCATCAGAAGCACCTGGAGGCCTTACTAACATACAGACTGAACCCCCAGAGTTTCTGAGTCAATGTCTGAAATGGAGAATTTGCATTTCTAATGAGTTTCTAGGTAATCTGATCCTGCTGGTCTGGGAGAGCCCTGGGCTTTTACCCAGTTACTTGTGCACATATTAGTATTCATTAGCATTTCTATTATGTGGCTAAGGAGAAGAGCTGAACATCACACTCACCTGAGAGCTTTATTTTCTTTTAACATTCAATTATTGGGATTAAACTTGCACTTCATCCCAGATCTACTAGGAAGCCCTAGGAATTTTATTGTTATGAGTTATGCAGAAGATTCTGATTTATTACAAAGACTTGAAACATTGCCTTATATAAAAAAGTGTTTGTTGTTTGTCTAAAATTCAGGTTCAATGGCTCGCTCATTCCATGTCTTTATTTGGAAATCTGGCACCTGTACTTACTAGGCTATCTTTGCCAGGAGTGAGTTTTCTCTGTATGTTCCCTCTTTTGCTCAACATAGCTCTAGTTTAAATGTTTATGGAAGTGGTGGTGAGTAGTGAAATCCATGCAAACACAATGTGTGGGGGTGAAGAAGAGAAAATTAAGATGTTTTCTCAGGAAAGAAAACACACACACAAAGGAAAATTCATTAATCCAAACAGCAGAAACAAAGTCAGAAAGAAAATGTCTGCTAATGGTTTTTCACCAGACAATTCGTCAATTACACAGTCAAAAGAAACCCTGAGGAACAAGAAGACAGCAAAGATGCTATTAAACTGTTCCAAGTGAAGCCATATATAATTAATTTCAAACAAGCACAGCTACAAAAACTCAAATACTTCAAGGTGCTGAGTGAGAGGTGGGATAAATCTGTATCAGGCTTCAAAACGACGCTTCCAGGTGAGTCTACTATTCAACCATAAGCAGGGAGATAATGATGTCTGCCTCCTCCCTGTTTTATTGGAGGCTGAAGAGCCTTAAGTTGAGACCCTCCCATTGCATCAAAGAGAAGAAAAAACAAGCACACGGCCCAGCCCCTGACATCAGCACATTACTACTAAGAGACTGAATCAAATGAGTGGGACAAACAAAACAGAGAAGAAAAATGCACTGATGCAGAAGACAGAGAAAATAAGCAAAGTGACCTGGCAAGCCCTTCCCAGGCTGAGTAACCACCATGAGCATCACAGGCCCTGCAAAGCAAGCAGCTTTCTCCCAATGCAGTTTTACCATTTCACAGGTTAGAGGTCGGCGCTTTTCCTGTAAAGGACAAGGCAGTACAATTTTTAGACTTAGTCGGCCATACACACTCTGCTGCATCTATCTACTCATCCTTCCTGTTGTAGCATGAAAGCAGCCCTAGACAATATGTAAGTGAAAAGACATGGCTGTGTTCCAATAAAACTTTATTCACAAAAATAGGTAGTTGATATGGACTAAATGTTTGTGCCCTCCACCCCAATTCATGTGTTGAATACCTAATGTGATGGTATTTGGATGTGGGACCTTTGATAATTAGGTCATGAATGTAGAGCCCTCATGAATGGATTAGTGCCCTCATAAGGGAATGCAGAGAATGGAGCTCTCTCCCTGCTTTCTGCCCTGAGATCATACAAATAGATGGTGTTCTGCAAACCATGATGAGGGCCCTCATCAGATACAATCTGCTGGCACCTTGATCTTGGACTTTCTAGCACCTAGAACTGTGAGAATTAAATGTTTTTGTTTCAGTCATTCAATTAAAAGTATATTTGTTACAGCAGTCTAGCAGACTAAGAACAGTGAGGCATATTTGGCCCATGGGCCATAATTTACCAACCCTCATCATAGGTGAGTGTGCATGGCAAGGATAGTATCATTAATGGGTACTATGGAGCACTGGGTGTCCTAATGGTGGGTGTTCAATAAAACACAAAGACTCCATTAACTCATCACTATGCATAGAAGGGCAGAGTGTTTAAAGATCACTCCAAAGTGTAAAGGCAGGAAATCAGGATTCTAGGAATAAGAAGGTGCTTATTTGAAATTCTGAGACTGTTCAAAATGGGAAAGAGAAGGAGATATGGGGACACAATGTTTTAGGATGGTTTTAGAAAGTTTTCTTGGTGGCCCTGCCAGAGAGAAGCTGACTGCGGGGAAGAGGGACCCTCTTGCTAGGTTCTCTGACTTTAATCTGCTACTCCTGAGGGTTCATCGTGTGATAAGGTATCATCCTCCTTCATCAGGGAGGTTTCCTGACCTTCTAAATTCACATACTTTGCATTTAGCATTCTAAGAAGTATACTTCCCCAAAAAGAAAATACTAAGTCACTTTGGCATGACGTTTTATAGTTTAAGCCAGAAAATATCCCCCAGGATGTGTGTAAAGCATAACTTCAGTGACCTCCTTTATGACACTGGTAAATGTGTTTCATCTGAGATCTTCATGTCAGTCAGGCAACACCCAAGCATGCATTTTACTCTGCATAATTTAAAAGCTTTATTCTCCTCCACACACACACAATTAGCACACATTGCTTTTTCACCGGGGGAAGGGTTAAACTTCCCAGAGACACTCTGAGCTAATCACAGAAAGAGAAGATCTGACCCAGCAGCTTCTGAAAGGATCGATGAGGTCAAGGAGTCCTTTCAGCTAAAGGCCTGGTCAGGTGGGGACAACATAGGCTACTACAGCCTGTCCATTGTGGGTGCTGGCAGGATCCTTCCTGCAAAAGTGACAAAATGCAGCCTCTTTGACCGGGAAGCCTGGAAGCCAGATAATGCCCTCAGTCCGGGCCAAATTCCCTTCCTGAATCCCATGGCCTCATGCAAGAGCTTTTTAACCAAGCAAACAACTGTCTTCTGCTTTGGGTCCAATGTGTACTCTTCACCAATTGCAAGATTGCTCTTCACTCAAAAGTTCGCTGTTTACACAGTTTTTAGTTTGTGCGTCAGAGGGCTGGGCTCTGCCTCTCCTAGGAATGGCGGCATCATATCAACGGAAGCATGAAAACCCAGGCAAGCGCTGGCAGGCAGAGCGTGTGGGCACTGCTCCCAGACGTTCTCTGAGCGTGCATTACGGCGAAGACCGCGTTAGTGTGGTTGGTGGGTAATTCCACATTGCAGATCATTCCTTCACAGCACGACCTACACTCCTGTTACAAAAGGAAGAGGAGAGGGAAATGAGAGAATGAGTAGCAGGAAGAAGAGGGAAGGGTGAAACAAACAACAAAACAAAACAAAAGCTTCTGGATCTCTAGCTGAGGACAGACAGAATGAGAGTTGGTTAACAGTCTATCAGCCACCCAGGCCCTTGGGTAGCCTTCCTTCCATTGACCTAAAAGTAAGGAACATCTGGAGAATCTTTTCTTAACCGTGTTTTATCTATACCAGCCCAAGCATAAGCAGGGGAAAGAAGAGGAAGGGCAACTGAATAAGACTGTTTGATTGAGTCAACAAATCTTCTGAAGGCTTGTAAGGGAAAACACTGAAACAAAAATGAGAGCTAGAAACATCTTGGATTGCCCATTGATTTTCTTTCTCAGCACTCCTTGTTAGGGGATAATAATGCCCCTCTATTGTCTATAGAACACCTGATTACTATCATTACAACAGCAATGACTTGCTAATTATGGTTGCTGAGCGATGAAAACTGCTTGCTCCCTGATAGCACAAGGTGTTTTCAGGGAAAGCCATCACCTGCCGTAATACCTGGTAAAATGCCTCAACCTTATAATCCTCACCATTCATAGAGGCTTCCAGGATGGCTAGGGAAGATAAAGACAGTGACTCTTAAGTATCTTTATCAGTGCTTTTTAACGTAGGCTGACGCTCAGGACCCCACCCTGAGGTTCTGTCTCAGTTGGCCTGGGATGGCCCCTCCCACCACCACAAGCTCCCCAGGAGACTCTCCCTGCAGCCAGAGCTAGAAGCCACTTTTCTGTACATACAGGCTAAGTCAAGTTCTAAAACCTCATGAAATTAACATACTCTCAAGTAATTTTTTCTCAAGCATTTTAGGGTTCCAGACATATAAAAGAGTAAAATGCTCACTTAGGATGTTAGAATGAGAAAATGAGAGAGCTCTATTGATCTAAAATGTATCTATAGTTCATCATATTAAACTGAGGTTAATCTTTCAGACTCTTGCTTCCTCATCTAAGCAGAGCTAGTGGGTGAGAAGGTGCCACCGTTTTCCTCTTTCCACCTTCCAGCTGCCCTGTCCAGTCTTCTTGGTGATTTCTGGCCATAAGCAAAATAGGTGAGCTGAGCTCTGTAGCACTTGTCCTTCTCTCATGGATGGTTTATTCTTGGGCTTTCAGACACGACTTCAGACAATTCACCCAAAGTCCAAGGTCTGGGGTCTAGCCCTGGAGTCTGGGAACTATCATTTGCTTTTAGTAACATTATTTTTTGTTGAAGAACATTTTTTGTTGAAGAACAGAAAGTCTTCAACTTCTCTTAGGTCCCATTGCATCACTATATAAACAGGTTCAACATATTACCATGACGTATAACTAACCATCACTAGCAAGACACCTTAAGGCAGTAACTTCACACACACACACACACACACACACACACACACACGCACACTCACACGCACACTCACACGCACACGCACACTCCTTACTGTATGTTCAGAATCTCGGCTGTGGTGGCAGCCAACTGAATGACATTCACTTCTGGAGGCACACTTTTTGGTGATGGATGTACTTCTTCCATGACTGGTAAAGTGATGAACTGTCAAACAGTACTGTGTGTCTAGGCAGGAGGAAAAGAAAAGAGGACTTCATTTTTCACATTGCAAAAGACACTCAACAATCACTTCAGAAATGACTAAGATTCAGGATGATCCTCAGGTTTCTAGGCAAGAAATACAATAGCAGAGATCTCTAGAGTTTCTAGGTGGTATTTTTTAAAAGGCATTCACTTTTGGCCCAGACAGCATGGCTCAGTGGTTGAGTGTCAGCCTATGAACCAGGAGGTCACAATTTGATTCCCCGCCATGGCACATGTCTGGGTTGTGGGCTCAATCCTCAGTGTGGGGGGTACAGGAGGCAGCCGATCAATGGTTTTCTCATCACCATCACTGATATTTCTATCTCTCTCTCCCTCTTCTTTCTTCTCTGAAATAGTATATATATATATATATATATATATATATATATATATATATATTCATTTTTAAGCACTCGTGCATTTTTAAAATGAATATGAAACGGGCACCTATCCTTTGGTGCCAGCTAAGACTGAGAAAAAACTGGACAAGCTTTTCATCAAAACCATAGGTTTGCCCATTTCATATGAAAGTGTCAGTATCTGTCTCTGCCTCATCTCTCTCTCTCTCTCTGAAGCGCATGTTCTATGCCTAAAATAAAGTGAAAGTGTGAATTTAAAATGCAATGGATCAGAATACTCTGGTTGCATTATTCAACATTTGATACATTAATAGGCCATGTGGAATGAAAAGCAGGTGCTTCAAAGTACACATCAAGACCGCCTTCCTTACTCAAAGTATTTCTATGTTCTCTTCTTCTTTAATTAACTGTTACTTTATCTGTCCCCTTCCCCCATTTTATAGCTAACCCATTTCTACATGGACCTATCCTTATAGCTTTAATCACTCACATCTTATTACTTAGGGTTCTTTAAAGAGAGTGATTTCACTCACTCTCCCAGAACATTCGCTTTAGTTCTGTAACTCTTCTATAGTTACCTCAGGCCAGTAAAATGCTGTTTTGTTTATTGAGAAGAGACTACAACAGCAACGTCATAGAATGGGGGAAAATATTTGACTAAAGTTGAGAATACTGGACTTATGAAATTGCCTTTGTCATAAGCAAGCAAGCCACGTTAGCACCTTTGAGGTAATTTTCTTTTTTTTAAATGTTTACTATTATTTTTAAAAAATATTGAGTTAACAATGGTTCTTAACATTATGTAAATTTCATGTGTATAATATTATCATTTGATATCTGTATACTATACTGTGTGCTCACCATGAAAAGTCTAGTTTCCTTCTGTTAGCATATATTTGAGCCCCTTTACCCAATTTGCTCTCCCACCTCCCCTCTAGTAACCACCCATCTGTTGTATCCATGACTTTATCTTTGTTTTGTTTTGTTACTTTGTTTGTTACTTTTTGGTTTTATATTCCATATATGAATAAAATCATGTGTTTTTTGTTCTTTTCCATCTGATTTATTTCACTTCGCACAATACCCTCAAGAAATATTGGCAATATTTCAATATTTCTATCTTTTTTATGGCTGAGTAGTTTTCCATTGCATATATGCACCACTCTTCTTTAACCACTCGTCTGTCAGTGGACACTTAGGTTGCTTTCATAGCTTGGCTATTATAAATAATGCTGTAATGAACATGGAGGTGCATTTATCTTTACAAATTAGTGTTTTCATTCAGATAAGTACCCAGAAGAGGAATTGCTGGACCCTATGGTAGTTCTAGTCTTAATTTTTTGAAGAACCTCCATACTGTTTTCCATCATGGCTATACCTGTTTACAATGAATGAGGGTTCCTTTTTCTCCATATCTTTTAAAATACTTATTATTTCTTATATTATTGATAATAACCATTCTAACAGGAGTGAGGTGGTATGTCACTGTGATTTTGATTTACATTTACATTATAGCTAGTGAAGTTGAGCATCTTTTCAGATATCTGTTGGCCATTTGTATGTCTACTTGGGAAAAGTGTCTATTCCGGTCCTATGCCAATTTTTTAATTGGATTTTTGTTGTTGTTGTTGTTGAAATGTATGAGTTCTTTATATATTTTTAATATTATCCCCTTATAGGAAATATCATTTGCAAATATCTTCTTCCATTTGGTTTGCTGCCTTTTTGTTTTGTTGATGGTTTCCTTTGTTGTGCAGAAACTTTTATGTTGATGTAGTCCCATTAGTTTATTATTGCTTTTGTTTTCCTTGCTTTTGGAGTAAAATATACAAACACACCCATAAGACCAATGTCCAGAAACTTAGTTTTTCTTCTTTGTATTTTATTGCTTCATGTCTTGCAATCAAGTTTTTAATCCATTTTGAGTTAATTTTTGTGTATGGTGTAAGTTTCATTCTTTTGCATATGACTGTCTAGTTTTTCCAATACCATTTATTGAAGAGACTTTCCTTTCTTAATTGTATATCCTTTTCTCCTTTGTCATAAGTTATTTGACCACATTTATATGGGTTTATTTCTGGGCTCTCAATTCTGTTTCATTGGTATGTCAGTTTTTCTGTAAGTACTATACCATACTGTTTTGATTACTACAGCTTTCTAGTACAGTTTGAAATCTGGGAGTATGATACCTCTGGCTTTGTTCTTTTTTCTCAGAGTTGCTTTTGCCAGCCAGGGTCTTTTGTGGTTCCACACAAATGTAAAGTTTTTGGTTCTATTTCTGTGAAAATGCCATTGGGATTTCGATAGGGATTGCATTGAATATGTAAATTGCTTTAGGTTCATTTTCTTTTTAGTAAATTATGATAATAAGTGCCTTGGCATTTTGTCAGGGCTGTTGTAAGATTTAATTAATAACAACAATAGTGAACACATATTGAGTGGGTACCACCAGCCAAATACTCTTCTTACATGTATTCACTCATTCAATCCTTAGAGTAAGTCTTAAGATAAGTCATATTAATATCCTCATGTTACAGATAAAATAAAATAAAAGCCTGAAACACAGTTTCTTGTCCACAATCACATAGGTAGAAAGTGGTGGGAGGTAGGATTCTAACCTAGGCAGTTTTCTAAGGTTTGTGCTCTTAACCAGACACTATTCTGCCTCTTGGTATACTTAATGTCAAACTAGATGGTGCTGTAACATGCTCGACAAGAGTAGCTGACTTATGGTTTCAGAAGGAAAGGGAACCACCAAATGTTTTGGAAAGGCATTTCAACTTCGCTCCAAACAAAGAATTGAAAACTGGTAGCTGCATGTGTTCATATGAAATGTCACACATGTTAAAGCAGCCCTAGAAAGCCAGAATAAAAGCCAGGGTAAATAAAATAAGAAATGTCATTCGTGTCATATCCTGTTACACAGAGAACCTCTCTTCACAACACCAGCAGACCACAGAAGGAAAGCTGTAAGGTGAAAAGGAAACCTAAGATGACAAAGAACAATAGCTGCAGGTCCGTTGGCCCCAAGAAATGGTTGACTATCATTTCCCTGAATAATGACAAACAGAAAAGTAAGAAATGATACCCTCACTTAGAATTCCAGATGGTTAGCATCTTGTGGCTGGACTGGTGCACAGTCACGAATGCACTGGCATGCGTGCGGGAATGCAGGGTCACTCCCTGCCACCCTCCAGTTCCCAGGGTGGATGTGGAAGAGCCGACTGTCTTCCCGCTTCCAACACTGCTGTTTTCTTGGTGGTGGGAACCAGCAGCTTCCCCCTTTTGTTCACATCTTTCAACAGATAAGACCCAGAAATACCCATGTATGATCCCATTAAAATGGATTTGATTAATTAATGACAAATCGGAGCATTATGCACAGACCTAGTAGGAGCTGTTTTGGGGCAATTCAAAAGAAGAAAGAAAACAGTTTCCAATGAGTTAAGGCACAACAGGATGGACACCAATGCCCCAATTTACACTGTTCTAACCCGTAACGCCCAGTTTTCAGGAGGCTTTAAAGTTAAAGACTAACACCACCCTCAGAAATAAGGTAGTGAAGAGAGGCGTTGGGCATCCTCAAACACTCTGCGATAATTGAGATGAATTTCTGCAAAAAAAATGTGGAAACAAGTCCCCAAATGTATACACCCCCTGTGCACATGCACTCACAAACACACACAATTTAAGGTGGATTGCTCTACAGAATGTAAAAACCCCAACAAAAAATATTTTGGTTATTGATTATTCTTGAAAAGAAATAATGAAAAATGCTGCCCGAGTATATGTCATAATCACTTGTGCTAATTTATGGCATAAGAGACTCCAGCAGCATTAAGGTCTTTAGCGTGTACTATTTATCTGGAAGAGGTAAGTCTATTTCACTGCTATGTATAATTTGATGCAGAAATTTCCAAAAGATTCAAGATAATAGTAGACCGAAACTAGTCATCTCTAATTCTGGAAGAGTTTGTTTGTTTTCTTTCGCCTTTTACATTTGCAAAACTAAAAAACAAAACACACACACCAAAAACAAAACAAAACAAAACAAAACGGTACTTCTAAAATCTAAGTCTAATCTCCTTATAGCTGTAAGTAGTTTCTCAATTCCCAATCATCCATCAGACATCCTGTCTGCTTTACCTCCACGTTTGTATATCATTCAACCTCTTGCCCCTTCTACTCCTACCACCGTGGTCCAAGTCACCATCTTCTCCACCTGAAGATAATGAAATACCCTACTTGGTGTCCCCTTCTACTCTTGTCCCAATCCTTTCTCCACACAGCAAAGAGCAATATTTTAGAACACAACTAGCATCTTATATTCCCTAGTTTAAAACCCCTCTACAAGCTTCCTATCATATTTACAATAAAATCCAAACTCTTTATTAGAAAAAGAAGGTCCTGTGTGTGTCCCAGTCCTTACCTCCTCAACATTCTTCCACTAAGCCTCACTGGCCAGCCTTCTCCCTGTTCACCGAAGAGGCCAAATCTTGCCTCTTGTAGCCTTTGCATTTGCTGTTCCCTCTTATTACCATGCTATTCCCACAGATGTCCATGTAGCTTGCTTGTTTTGGTCATTCAGGTCTTCTTTCAAATGTACACTCCTCAGAGAAGACTCCCTGACTATCTAATCAAAGGCATCCATTCATTCTGTCAACAACTACTTACTGAGTGCCTAATATGGGCCAGGCACTGGATTAAACTAAGGCTATATCAGTGAACAAAACGAACTAACAATATAAAACATTTGTCAAATGAATAAAAGACTTTCCCAACCATCATTGTATCTCAGGAATACAAAACCTTTCCTTTGCTTTAGCCCAGCGGTTCTCAACCTGTGGGTTGCGACCCCTTTGGCAATCGAATGACCCTTTCACAGGGGTCGCCTAAGACCATCCTGCATATCAGATATTTACATTATGATTCATAACAGTAGCAACTTACAGTTATGAAGTAGCAACGAAATTAATTTTATGGTTGGGTCACCACATGAGGAACTGTATTTAAAGGGCCAGAAGGTTGAGAACCACTGCTTTAGCCAGTAAGTATGACTTTTCTGGAGATATCATCAAGCATTTCTGAAATTCTTAGAACGCCTTAGTCAACATTGTAGTCTATTTTTTCTCTTGAATAAATACTATTTAAGAAATCCTTTCTCAAGTAACACACAACTACAAATTGAGGCTACACCATCAGTTTCCAAGTGTTCTCAGAATAGTCTAATGTCACAATGGTCTCTTAAGAGAAATCTCTAATTTCTATAGAACATCAACCTGTTGGCTTATCAAGAGACACCTAAATGAGATGTAATCCCAAAGGAGTCTCCCAAACTCAGCTCACTTACTTTGTGGACACCACTTGTCTTCTGCCCATCGATTGCAGTTATAATTATCTCCTGCATTTTCACAGGTAAAACACTTGAAGCTGTTTGGAAATGGTGTAGCTTTAAAGAAAAATGCACAGTGAAAAGACAAACATTTTTAACATCAAATATGGCACAAAATTAGCAACTTTTATAAGATTAGACAAAATTTACAAGCCATTATACTTAGAATTTCTGTTTCTAGGGAGCTAGATTTAACTGCCAAACTCTGGGCAATTTCTTTATTCCCTTTTCTTTAAATATTTCACCTATAAATATCTATTAAAGAGTAATAAAAATCATTCCACAAGCCACTTTGAAATATTCATGGTATTGTTCTATAATAATTTATAACTTGGGAATAATGGGGATTAAGGGGATATGGGGATGGGTAAGGGTGGAGGCAGCATTGGAGCCAATAATTTGATATGGTTTCATTCCTGAAAAGAACTGGAGTCAGATTAACCTGAGCTTGAACTCTTCCCTTCCCACTAATTAGCTGCATCCTTTTTAACTTCAAAGAAATAATACTATGCATAATAATAGTAACAATGAAGGTCCCCATGACTTGCAGAGGTATAGTGAAAATTGAACAGGCGGTGGCAAGAAAAATATCTAATGGAGTCCCCGGCACATCAAATCATACTGGTTTCCATCCACATGTACTTCCGTTACAGCTGCATTTAACCACAATCAAACAATCTCATTTGTATATGTCAATTATTGCATTAGACCTCAACTAAGAATGGAACATTTAAATACGGGGATGATAGTAATTCTCAGACCCTATGCTCAGGCCAGGGTATTATGGAAAGAAGGAATTAGGAGCTGCTGGCAGTCTGGTTTGAGAGCAACTAGTATATTCATTTCTCTTTTTTGTCTTTATGCTTTTTTCCTACCTTTTATCTTGTTATTTTCATGGGCACAAAATAAAAAGTACAATAAATTTAACATTTTTCTATAAGCCAGTGTATAAAGCCCTGTGTGAAACTTTCACCCCAAACCATCCTAGTAACCTGACCACAGTTGGGATGATAATTAGAAAGCAGCGGGTACTGAAGATACAGGAGAGGATAAATATTGATGCATAAAACAAGAGTGACATACCAAAGGTGACAGTTCAGAGGACGTGAAATTAACACTTGGAGTGCGGGAAACGAGTTAAGTCAGCTCGCGTGAATTGCGCGTACTCCGCGGGAGCCGTCTTTAACTCGGTTCATATCGCCTATTAAAGCAGTACAGTTTTAAAATTACTAACACTTCAGTAACAAAAGTGAAATTCATTTTGCCTATTAAAGCAGTACAGTTTTAAATTACTAACACTCAGTAACAAAAGGGAATATCCTATATAATAAAAGCCTAACATGTTAAGTGTCTGGTTGTTTGGTCGTCTGTTCAACCAATCAAAGCATAATATGCTAATGATATGCTAAGGCCGCTCAACTGCTCGCTATGACATGCACTGACCACCAGGAGGCAGATAGTCAACCAGTCGAACAGTCGCTATGACATGCACTAACCACCAGGGGGTAGACAGTCGACTGGTTGATCAGTTGCTATGATGTGCACTGACCACCAGAGGACAGACACTCCGACTGGTAGGTTAGCTTGCTGCTGGGGTCTGGCTGATTGGGACTGAGGGAGATGGGCCAGACATGCCCTGGAGTCCTCCTATGGTCCCTCCCTGGCTGGCCAACCTCTCATGTCCCTCCCCAGCTCCGATCGTGCTCCAGTGGGGTCCCTTGGCCTGGCCTGCACCCTCTCGCAATCCGGGCTGAGGGGACCCCCCCCCCCAAGTGCACGAATTTGGTGCACCTGGCCTCTAGTAGTCAGTAATATTCCAATAACTATATATGGTGTCAGATGGGTACTAGACATATTGGGGGATCACTTCATAAGTTATATAAATGTCTAACCACTAAGCTGTATACCTGAAACCAATATAATATTGTATGTCAACTGTAATAGAAATTTTTCTTAAAATCTAAAAACAAAATACTACTACTTAATGCTGGTGAATGAATGTCCTAAATAATAAAAAAAGTCCAAAGTGGAAATCAATAATGACACAGGCTCTCTTTAGGAGTTGTGTAAAGACTGTGGTTCCCAAGCCTGGCTGTGTATCTATAGTCTCAGGAGAGCTATTTTAAAAGAAGAGGGAGGGGAAAAAGAAAAGAAAAATATAATTTATAGCCCACCCTCCTGACTATTGAATCTCTGGAGAAGGGACCCAGGAATGTTTAGTTTTAAAGGCATTTATCATGATTCTGATACTCTTTCAGGTGTGGGAACCACAGGCATTCACATTTCTACCAACAAATTTTATCTATAACAACCTCTCTCTAATAAAGTATATCAGAGAAGTAGATAAGTTTTACTTGTCTGAAAAGAGAGAAAGGAGGGGAGATGACATATGTATACAAGCACATATGCACACACATATATGTATATAAAAATATAAATCATCATATAGATAAGATATGCTATTTATTTTTAAATTATTAGTGGGAAAGCTGAGTTTTACAGCCTTTCCTAAATGCACATAATATTCATGAAAGTCCAAGTATATTTCCTCCAAATTTTACACATACTAATCTGTTTTCAAGATTGTTAATGGTCATTGAGCCCTGGCCAGGTGGCTCAGTTGGTTGGATCCTTGTCCGGTACAACAAAAGGTTGTGGGTTTGATCACCTAGTTGGGGCAGGTATGGGAAGCAACTGATCGCTGTTTCTCTCACACATTGATGTTTCTTTCCCTCTCTCTCCCCCTTCCTCTCTCTCCAAAAATCAATAAAATAAAAACATATCCTCAGGTGAGGATTAAAAAACAAATTGTTAATGGCCATTGATAGACTATATCATTGATGCAGAAACTTCCTACAGCCAATATCCTCCTCCAGTGAAGAGAGGAACAAAGAACACTGAACTTCCTCTGCCATTCTTAGGCACAGGGCTCAAGAGATTATCTTAAACAAGAACCCTTTTGAGACTTCAGCAGGAAGCCAAAGTATTTCAAAGAACTGGAGAGAATGTCAGAAGCAGTGAAGACTTTCTGTCTTATTCGAGGTATTAAACCAAATGGTCTCGAAAAGGCAAAGTTACTATAGGTGGAAACAGGAACTTCAAATGGGCATTCTGGCTCCACAGTCATGACCTACAATGGTAACCACTACTTACGGTCGAGAGGAGGCCTCACGTTATAGAAGTTGATGTTCTTGGCAAAGGCCCGGTTTTCTGAGAAGATAAAGATCTGGACAACTGCTACAGCTAGAGCATGACAGAAGAGCAGCATTCTGACCTTGGGTCTGGGCAAGTCCAAAACTCATATATCTACAATGAAAAGAGAGACTAGTTGAGTTTTTATGCATTTTACATGTCAATAGGAGTATGTTTTGCTTCTCTTTGGAAAGCTTAATTATTCAAATATATTGAACCATCTACCTGTTCTGTAGGGCCAGTACCTATGTGGGAACTGTATTCTTTCTGATCAGATGAAAGTTAAGCAATGGCTGCCTTCTACTGGTCAGGCCTCTGCACTAGCCAGTTGAGTTTTAGCAGGACATCCAGTGGCCATTTGGGTTCCAGAAGAACAAGCAGCCAGTACTGGCCTGGCTGCACCACCACCCCCCATTCCCCCATCCCCACCCCCCGACCCAACACTGCCTCAGGCTGGCCCACTTCACTTCCTGCTGAATCACCTCACTTCCTAACAACCACAGTTTGGAGACTTGTTCAGCTGAAGTTACTGAACCGCTAATCTGTCCATTCCATTCCTTGAGTAAACACTTACATTCGAGAAATTTTGCAACTCTTTCAAAACCTGGAGGAAACAATAAAAATTGAAGCAGTAGGAAGGACAGTGGGTAAAAGGACAATGAGTCTGAGACATAAAGTGTCTGCTGGATCCCAGGGCACACAGGCGGTGAGAAGAGAAACAAGAATCACTGTGAAATGCCATCCTGCCAGTTTCTGTCACGTTGGGTACAAAGAGAAGCTGCCAGAGGTTCTAGAGAAACATAATTACAGTTTTTGAACAGCTGAAAACCATATCATGTTAGTCCTGCTCACTGCTTTCATGGACTTAAAGTAGGCAGGGCTGAAACCCAACAAAACAGCAGGCACGCTCAAAGCACTGAGTAAAATATATTTTTATTGATTTTTAGAGAGAAAGGAAGGGGGAGAGAGAGAGAGAAAGAGAGAGAGAGAGAGAGAGAGAGAGAGAGAGAGAAACACTGATGTGAGAGCAAAACATCCATTGCTGCCCTCTGTATGCCCCCATCAGGGGCATGTTCCCTTACCGGGAATTGAACCAGCAACACTTTGGTGCACAGGACAAGGCCAAACCAACTGAACCACACTGGCCAGGGCAAAATACATTAATTTTTAAGCTCCACAGGTTCTGCCCTCTAGAAGCAGACCTGATAGTAAAACAATCTTCAGGATTAATGCTCAGAACCTACAACAGCACCACTGACAGGTTCTCTTTGACAAGGGGAGGGGTGGGGCAGCAGAAAAAGTATGTAACTTGGAATCCAGAGACTTTTATTCAGGTGCTGGCTCTGCTATTTATTAGCTGCCTGACCTAGGCAAGCTCTTTAAATTCTATTAACTTCAATTTCCTCATCTGTAAAGTGGCTTAATAACATCCACCCTGCCCACTCACATGGGGAATTGTGAGCATCAGCCAAGCTCAGGTAGGATCACATAGCATCGCGTATGTAAGAGCACTTGTAATACAAGTTCCATGACAATGCTGGAATCTTAGAGTTCAGTAATATTGGCTGAACTCATTTTCCAATCAACTGGTTTCAGTGGATATAGAGTTTTTCAAATAAAAAAGTTTGCTTTCCACATATATGGGCATAATTCTTTACACGGATCTTTTGTTTGAAGTCGGTGTAACAATGTGTGGATTTTAGAGTTTTATTTCCCCCTCTTGTGTTGTGAGTATATTGGTTTTGCATGTGTGGCTAAAAATGCCTACTCTTGGATATGGAACTGATTATTAGAGAAAATGTAGCCACACCATCATCTCATTCCAAGTCCCTAAGGAAGTATTCAGGGCTGAAAAACAAAACTGGTAGATTTCTAAAACCCATTCTTATGCTCTTTCTGAAGAAACATACATTTAGCCAACTATTTTATACCTTACAGGCGAGTGGGTGTATTGATACAAATTCTGCTTCTCCTGTTTATCTCTCTGAGTTGGATTATTATGTATTTATTATGAATCTGTGGCCAAGTAATGCACATCCCCAAGTAATGGAAGACCCTTTGAGTCAAGGAGGAGGGCTAATACATCCTTCACACATTTCAAAATGACTGTGTATCAAGAGTAATCCAAAGTGTTCTTATAATTTGAGACAATGCCTACGATCCTCTAAGATCATAGATTTCACTACACTCAATTGTCTACATTCAATTCCCTTTTGCAACACTAACCAACTATGGGACCTTGGGCAAGTTGCTTAAGCTCTCCAAGCCTCAGCTTCCCCATCCGTAGAGAAGGCATAAGGACAGGACCTACCTCAGTGAAGAAGTGAGGACAGAAGCGAGGATGGAATGACACCATGTGGATGAAGCACTCAGCCGAGTGCTGGGCACATGTTAAAGGTGTATTTATCAAGCACTTCTCCTAGGTGGTAAAGAGCACTGGCTCAAAGTCCTGCTTCCAAGCCTACTATCTATGTAGTCTCAAGCAAGTTCCTTAATCTCCCTGTACCACCATTTCTGCATCTATAAAATGGAAGTAATAGTAATACCTACCCCATAGAATTGTAGAAATTAAATTAGTTAATACATGTAAAGCACTTGAACTAAATTATCTATGTGCTCAGCATTTTGCTAATTCTTACTAAGTAAACATTTAGTATTATGAAAAAATCCCCATACCATTTGAAATCACAAGTCAGAACCCCTGGTTTTCCTCATATAATTTCAGTGTGAGACAAAGGCTCATTCATTCATTCAGCATGCCATTATTGACACCTCAGGCAGAACAGATACTTTTTAAAATAATTTCTTTATTGATTAAGTTATTACATATGTGTCCTTATCCCCACAAGAACAGATACTTTTATTCACTGGATCCCCAACAAGGTCATTGCTCTCGTGCAGTCTGCATTTTTGAGGGAGAAAACAGGAAATAAATATGGTAAAAAACATAATTTCAGATAGCTATAAAGTCTATGAAGAAAATATGTAAGGAGGTATGTTAGTGAATAGAAGGAGCTATTTTTGTATAGGGTGATGCCAGAATGTCTCTGCTGGGTGACATTACATGTTAATTAAATGATGAGAAGAAACTGTGCAAGCAAAGAATCAAGGGGATAGAAACCAAGGTCCTAAGATGAGAAGAAGTGTGCCTTGGGGTGATTTAGGAAGCAGCCAGTGTGACTAGAGCGTGCTGAGAAGGGGAACAGACGGACGAAATCAGGGAGTGGAGGGACCGGGCACTTCCAGGCCATGGCAAGGATTTCAGATCCGGCAAAGTCAATACATTGTTTAATTTTAGACTATCTTGCTTTGAAAAATACTAAGAATGCTTCCTCTCTAGAGTACTTGGTCCCGAACTCCTATAATAGTGAATACAGAGGGATATAGAATTCAGAAAAACCACACAATTTCTCTGAATGAAAAAGTGAATGGACGATAGACAACTTAAAAATTACTGCATTGACAACAAAATCAAGAGTTAGAGTTGTTTTTTGGTTTCTTTCTTCCTCAAAACTGGAAGGAATAGGTTATCATCACCCTTATGCACCTGAGGAAAGCGAAGTTTAGAAGCCATATGCACAAAAGTCCTAGCATGGAGCCCCTCCAAACATTTCCACATAGCTCAGTCTACCTACTACTCTTAGAAACTAGTGAACAGTAAACCGGAAGAATGTTGCTTCTGTATAGACTAGATGTATTTTCATTCCCATTTTTAACTAAAACAGCATAGCCTTTTTCTATCAAAATTCTCTCCAACTGCAGAGGTTTTACCTGTAGGATAGGAAAGCACTAAATAAAAATGTCTCATTTCTCAGGGCATGCTTTATAGTCTGTTACCACTTCCTGTCCCGCCCCCCCAACCCCCACCCCAAGCACCTATATCTGTCTCTATCCATTTTTCAGTGTATAGGTTGTGTTAACATGACTGTTTTATTTTCACAACTGAAAGACATTAGGATCATAAAAAAGCAAATGACTAACTATAGTATTTGAAAGTTGTTTTACATTTAGAATCATTTCACGGAGACTCTGAACTAAAAATTATCTGCTGAAACTGCTGAGTAGGCTCTCACTGCAATCTTTGTTGCAGAACAAGGTTACAATAGAGCTTGTATTTTGCTCCAGAAGAGAAAAGAAATCTTTAACACACGTTAGACTAAAGCATTCTGGTACATCTCCGGGACCATCATAGAGAGCAGAGTTCTTCATGTAGAGGAGGGGTGACCTATGAGCTTCTTAAGGTTATTGGCAAAATTTTGTGTCCATACATATTTCCTCAAAGGAATCTGAGACTCACATGATGGTTAAAAACAGCTGCTTGCTGTTTCAGAATACAGCCATTATGATTCAGCTTCCTGTGATTTAGATGTTTTCATATCTGACACTAAGAAAGTTGCATATATACATGAGGTACCTGATCCACACTCCTCAAACTCAAAACATTCCTCCCCAGAGAGAGCTCATTAATGTCACCCACCTTTTCCAGGTAGTGGGCCTGGTCTTCCACTTATTTTATGAGCCCTCTTTTTTGAAACTATATTAATTCTTATTCCAGAATTCACTGTGTTTCTCTTACCAAGAGAGGGAAGGGATTTCTGCAAGGCACATTTGTAGGGCTACACCAGGGTGGCAACTCCCAGGCACCCTGAGGAATGGCAAGTAGCCAGATTTGGCCGTAACCGGTTTGGCTCAGTGGATAGAGTGTCGGCCTGCGGACTGAAGGGTCCTAGGTTCGATTCTGGTCAAGGGCATGTACCTTGGTTGTGGGCACATCTCCGGTAGGGGGTGTGCAGGAGGCAGCTGATTGATGTTTCTAACTCTCTATCCCTCTCCCTTCCTCTCTGTAAAAAATCAATAAAATATATTTTTTAAAAAAAGTAGCCAGATTTGTAAATTTAGGAAACCCTACCTGAGTCTTTCACCCACTACTGCCCGAGTAAAAGACCTGTATGGCATTTGGTCAAGAAAAGCAACTATTTCCCAGGTTGGAGCCATGGTAATCATCTCATCCCCTATGTGGCATTTTACACTTCCATGTGGCATCCTTGACATCATAAATTTGGGGTGGGGTGGGAAAATGACCTACATCATTTTTCTTTTGGCTTAATGAGTTT